TATGATATTCATATTTACAAATATAAAAATTTGTGTGTATGTGTATGTATGTATGTATGAATATATTGTGTGTATGTATACTTCCTTTTATATATATATATGTATGTATGAATATTAGGCATGATATATATGTGTGTGTGTGTGTGTGCGTATATATATAAATAATATATATATATATAATATATTATATATATATATATATATATATATATATGTGTGTGTGTGTGTGTGTATAAATCTATATATATATCTATACATATATTTATATAGATATATATATCTGTAAATATTTGTATATGTATATTTTGTTATTGAGTTTATTTATTAATTTATTAATTTTTTGCTTAAATAGTTATACATGAGTATAAATTAAGTTTTACATATTCGTCGTCGAAATTGAAGTCCTCTATTTCTTCTGAATCGGCAAATACGCTTTCACATATACCTTCAAATATAAACACATACTAAAGTGCTCTCTTCCTTATCTTGGCTGTCACATGCAGTCGCTGCTTTTCACCGCCCAGACGATGCGCACGAAAATCAAATTCCACTTTCACGAGCTTCCGGCAGACGTACATCTCCAATTGCGTGACTCGCTACTATCCCACATCGATCGCTTTAGTAACGGGCCCCACAGCACAGTACTCACCCAGCTTGTAGTAGCGCTGGTTGATCTGATGGCGTATGTGGTGGCCTGGACTGACCCACTGGGAGACTTGCTGGGCTTTTTTGGGCACCGCACAGATCGGCTGAAGACACTCCTCGAGATCTTGGAGGTGTGTGGGAAGTGTACGATTCTGAGGTGGTGTGGATGTACTCTGGTGTTAATACAATACTGCTGTGTGTGTGAACATCGCTGTACTTGTGCTGGGGATATGCTATATAAATTGAGATGATCGAGGTTTGTAGCGAGTGTCGGGGTCGGTACGACTTCTCAACGACGTACAAGTGTGTGCCATAGTTGCCGTGCGCAATATGCCGGTGGATCGGATGGTGTATGTGGTGGCCATGCTAACTTGCACCTTGCCTGAACCAAGTTTATCTCTTGTACTTGAAAGCTAACTTAAATCTTGCTTACATGCTATCTCACACTCAGGTCTTCCCCCAAGAAACCGAGTCACGAGCCCTGCGCATCAGCGACGAGCGGCTGAGCGCTTTAGACGACCAACTGCGCTCACATGGCGCTGAGATCATGGCTTTGCTGCAGACCTGTCTAACTACACCGGAATATCAGGAAAAGACTCATCAGGTATGTACCACTCTCTATTGAGGGTACTAGGGTGAGCAAGTCCTTTGTTTCGGTCACGACACTGACCAGCAATCATCAACATTACATCAACATCAACGTCAACCCAATAAATATGCTTAACGACTGACTATCCAACCTCAAGCAAGAGTATACGACTTGCATTTATACCGGGTGTTTAGTTCGCTCTATTTGTCATCTGTATTTTATTTTTATAACTATATTTTTGAAAATCATAGTATGCTTTTATTTATTTAGTTCTCGTTTTATTTATATATATATATATATGTGTGTGTGTGTGTGGTGGTGTA